AAGTTTCATCAATCAGCTATTGATCTGGAAAATTCCAGAAAGTTCTGCGCATTCAATAAATAACATTTCAGAATATGAAATGGAACGTAATATACCGGTTGTAACAGTAAAATTGTCCAAATCGTGTAACAGCAAAACAGTCCAAGTGTTAGATTAATCTCTGAAGCGTTGTATTTTAGAAATGATTAAAGATATCTTACTGGAATTCTCCAAAATTTTTATAATACTTTTGACTCTACTCTGAGCAATAAGAATGTATAATTACTCTCCAAGCTTAACAGAAGAATCGTGATGAAATCGAACATAAACGAAAATGACATGTTCATAATTAATTAATCATATCTAAGGATCGGAAGCTCATGAATGATTGAAATGAAGTTCAAGTTATATATATATATATATATATATATATATATATATATATATATATATATATATTATTTCGGGATCATTTTCCAACTAAATCAAGATGATCTTCGCCCTCTCTAAACGTCTAACTTTCTGTCCTGGAGAAACCATGTGCCTAACACGTTTCACGTACGATTTCATTTTCAAGTCTTTTTTTCTGCTCCTTGGACTGTCATAGCTGAAACTCATCCCTCCCGCCTTATGAATTGAGTTGTATCTTTTCTAATTGATCTCTATAGTTTTAAGATCCAATTTTTCTTTACTGCCTTTTTAAAACTTATTCACCGTTCTCTTGACGTTTCTTGAATCGAATTTGAAGGATCTCTGCTTCCAAGAGATGAGGAAGCATCTTCTTGACAATTAACCTTGTTCCATTACAAAGTTTCGAGGATCCAGATTTCTCAATAGCATAATTGGCACATATTCTTTTAGTTCCATCTTGTGTGATGGCATTCCAGGAGGGGTCATTGACTTCAGGAACTCTATTGGGTAATTGACTGCCTGCTCTTGTTCAACCACAGTGTCAATGGAAAAGTACTTTATGCCTTCTTTTCAAATTTTTTTGGAGAAATTTCCAGTTGATGCTATCTACAGTCTGATTTTTGGATCTATTATGGTGATCTCACAAAGCCAGTCTGTATCTATAAAATGGTGTTTAATGTTTGGATAAACATGGTTAATCAAGTCTTGGATACTTGAGACTGAAACTCCGCAAACACCTTGGAGTGAAATATCTTCATTTTGATGGTTCCATTGCCAAGCTGCAATAGCAAAGCAGCAAATCTTCCTGCTTCAGGGTTACCTGTGATTCTAACTTCCATGTTTATTTTCAGGCTGAGTCTTTGAACATGGCTTCGGATATAAGAATTTTCAGGCAAGCATTGATTTCATCAGCTGGAGTTTCTCTTGTAATGACTGGTAATATTTGTCTAAAATCACCAGAGAATAACACAGTGATACCTCCCATGATATCTTAATTCTGTTTAATGTCCTTAAATGTTTTGTACAGGGTCTCAAATGCTCGCTTGTGAGTTATGGTACATTCATCCCAGACAATGAAGCTTGTCTCCTCCAGTAGCTTAATCAAGTTGGTTCCTGTTTTGAAATTGCAAATAGAGGTTTCATTTTACTTTAAATCCAATGGAGGTTTGAAGGTGCTGTGCGCCCTCCAGGCAAGAGAGTAGCAGAAATTCCAGATGATGACACTGCTAGAGGGACTATTTTTTGAGTCTCAATGCAGATAAAAGAAGGTAAGTTACAATCGTATTACCAATACCACCTGGTGCATCTAAGAAGAAAAAACCCTCCATTGTTGTTGCTGATGTCATCATGGATCTTCTCATACACTTGCTGTTGGTCTTGGTTCAGCAGTGTATATTACGTATATCAGCCTGCGCATTCGAGAAATCTCAATAAAGAAAATGTGCTCTCCGGCAGGAATTGAACCTGCGATCTCCCTTTATAGGAGAAAGCACCTTAAAAAGGAAATAGAGTCTTGCTGTCCTACGAGGCTTTTTGTAGCCGATGGGTAAAGCACACTGAATCAACGGTGTTTTCTCGTTTTTTATAATAAATCCAATAACTTTAATAAAACAGGTTGGAACTACTTAAACATTTAACTCAAGCTTTGTTTTTACGTCTAAATTAATCGTTTAAAATTCGACAAACGTTTTTCAAAGCAAATTCGAGTTATTGAGGTTTATGTTATTTGTATAATCACTTCAGACGGACTATATATCAGTTATACTCTGACGTCAGATGAGTCCGTGTGATCACTGGTGAGGCTACTTATGATAAGGCGATGTAAATTATCGGAGTCTGAACAGGATATGATGGTGGGTCCCGTGCGTCTGGGATATTCCATTTCGGAAACCGTAGGAAATATACTAATATATATCCAATCATTACAATGTCCGTTTCAAAACATCAACAATAATGAACCTACTGATGAGGAAATTAAGAACGCCATTAAAAAACTAAGGAATAATAAAGCATCACTTGACATTGAGGCTGAACTTTCGAAAGCAGCTTACAAGTTTCTAAATGTTATAAAGGAAGGTTGTAATCAGAAATTCCCCCACAAAAATGGTGAGTTTTATCGCCCATTAATATATAACGGGGTGGAGTTTTGAATTATGTTTATGTAAGTTACCCCGTAGTTATATGTATTGGAAGTTGATAGAGTTGATTCCTTCTCCCTGTTTGTTTTTTCTTTACTGAAAATGAAATGAATAAAACGTACAATAACATAAACAATAATACTTCGAGAACTGTATTGAAATTAATGAAAAGAATGTATATTTTTCTTTTCGCGAATGTTATTTACAATACTGATATTGTTTGTGGTAAATGTTCGCAGTGTTATTGTCTCTTTTGTTTCTTTAAATGTTTATATTACTTGTTTTTGCTTGTTCCGATAATTTTTGTTGTTAAGGGTAAATTTTGAGAGCGTCAACTATGGATTTTTACAGAGCGACGGTGATACGTCTGTGTTATACCTTTTTACTACTGCTACTCTACTTGTTACTTCACTCTACTGACCCTGCTTGTGGTGCAAGAGTGGTTTTTATAATGATGAAGTTTCAGATTTTAGAATGATGAAATATCATCATGATATATAATCACTGGTGGCTAGGTTATTTTAGATGATGAAATTTTTATCTTTATTTCCTGAATGATGAAATATCCTTATCATCATTCATCACTGCTGGAGAGATTGTTTTTAGAATGATGAAATATCATTATCATTCTGGATCATAACACATGCACTATGGATACAAAAAGTTAGCCCTCAAAATCAACACACATACACGAGTATCTCAATTGGAAATATTATGTACACTATTTACATTATTCGGACTATTGTCCTCATCTTTGTCGCCATATTTGTTACAACGTTTCGGCCGTTGTACGCTCCGGCCTTCTTCAGGTGGTTGGAATGTCGAACTGAACCCTTTATTTCGCTTACTGGGGTAGACTGCTCTAGTTCCATGTGCCATGTTTAATGGATGTCAGTTATTAGTTATCTACTGATAATTCCCCTCTCCAAGTTCTCCACTGCCTTCAGCGGGAATTGAACTCACACTCTTTGGGTCCTATCATTGGCTCTAACTAACGCTTTTATCCACTGTGCTATGTGCCCTCGAGGACCCATGCGACACTGGATAAAGGCGTTAATTAGATAACTGATAGCTGACATCCATTAGACATGGCACATGGAACTAGAACAGTTTACCCTCGTCAGCGAATAAAGGGTTCAGTTCGACATTCCAACCACCTGAAGAAGGTCGGAGCGTACAACGGCCGAAACGTTGTAACAAATATGGCGACAAAGATGAGGTAAATAGTGTACATAATGCTTCATCTCAGAAATATAGACAGATACTGGAAATATTATGGTGAAGAATTAATGAACTATTAATAATTACCTGTGCTCTCAACATTTTATGAAAGTTAACTCCTCACAATTCAGTTTTGTCTTCGTTCTGTAAAGGGATGTAATGATGGTATATATGTCATCTAACAAATCCATGAAATTACGAAACTCTCTAATAGGAAATTGAGTATCTGTTATGTGGGTCTCACGCAACATAAGGCCATATCAGTACAGACACCCTCTTCTCATCCATCAGAAACCGAATCCACTGAATGCGTTACTCTAAGAGGGGAACTTTATCAGGTCACAAATTCTTACCTGGCTAGTTCAATATAGAACCATTTCCAACCTCATTACGAGTACGACAAAGATGAAGTGAGAGCCCCGATCTATTTAATCTTTTCCTAGCCTATTCCCTGCGCATATATAAGTACAGATGTGAAGAGATGGGTACTAATCATTTAAGCATTCTATACCCCATCCCAAACAAATCTGCTAATAAAAGATAATTATTTTTCTTTCTTTTCATCCACTGCATTTTATTGGCTACAATCTGTACAATCGTTTCTTATTTACCAACGACCAGCAGCATCAACAGAAGTGAAAGGTTCACGGAACAGACACTACAATTTGAGTCATGGCTTTTATCATTGCTCTCTTCTTCGTAAGCACTGTGCCTTTATCTATCTTGAATTATATAATAAACGTTGACCTTGTAAACTAATATTTTGTATGTCTGTTAGGACGAACGCCATAACAAGGTGAAGAACAAAGAGGAACCAAGTTATGCCCCTTGATCAGAAATCTCTAGAACAGAAGAAAAAAGAGATTTCAAGATGTCTGTCAGACATACCCTCATATTCTCTCTCGGACACTCTTAATCTACCAGTAATCCATTGGTCATGTTTACATACTCTGGTTACCAATAGTTAATAATATGTAAAAAAAAGTTCGAATTGTTTGTTCGTTCTTACTTGGCACAATTAAGCACACCCACGGACACAACACTGGCGACGAGGATTTTTACAAGAGCTCAACCACGTGCGGCAATAACCAAAGGGCTTTACCCAAAAGAATCAACATGGTAACCTCCACTGAATCTCTGAAAGACATACTACGTCAACAGCAGGAACAATTTGAGGGAGAAGAGACACAAAGCACGGAGACAACAATATACCACTGGCTTTAATGTGTCAAACATTGTGAACGTCTTGGCTTACGGCCACATCACATTGAAACACCGATTCCCGTGCAAACACCAAAGTTAAGCAACGTCGTACCTGGTCAGTATCTAGATGGGTGACTGCTTAGAAATACCATATGCTGTAAGCATGAATGTGTGTGTGGCGTAATGGATAATGGTTCCGAATAGCTAACCAGGGAGCCGATCTTCAGTTCCGGTTGGGTTCGTTATATTCACCTACGCGCAAATACCTTTGGGTGAAGGGATGCATCCACCTCTTCTCTCCCCAGTCATGGGTTAATTAGTTAGACTTCTATCACTAAAACATTATTATCTCCAAAAAAATAAATATTCTTACAATCTAAGATTTCTGGTTTTAAATAACTTGCAACGAGTTGATGAACCGTAAAAAATGAATCAATCCTCGTCAGCGGTGGTGGGAGATTTTCGTAAGAGATACGTTTCTCTTTCTCGATGTCTCTGGAGGAAATCTTCGGAAAGATTTTATCTCGATGTAGCTGGTCCTACTTCCAATAAGAGTTAAATTCACTCAATTTCTAATGCATTTCGAAAGAAAAGTCAGCTAGACATCAGAAATCCTTTGGAATAGACAGCGACAATCTGTTACTTCAAAGGCACTAATTTCATCTACCGAAAAAAAAAAAAAATAAATGCTGTTTTATGGACATGATCATTCTTCAGCTTCTTCTATATGCCGTGTCCCTTTAGGACGTTGGCGATCATGGCCCACCGCAATTTCCTGTCCTTTGTAGCTCTTGATAAATATCATTTTGTTATCTCTCCTAAACCTTGTTCCATCATCCATTTACTCAAACTCGCTAGGTAGATTGAGTCGTTTTCCCTTGTCCCTCTTGCTTTCAATCTGTCCTGTGAGTATCAAATTTCCAAGCTCTCTTTCCTCGTTATGTACTCAATACACTTTTGCTGTCTCTTCCTGATGTTAAGAACAAGTGTTATTCTGTTTCCATTTTCGCTAATGTTTTGTCGTTGCTCACATGTTCGGTTCATTGTATTCTGATCATCCTCCTGTAGAATCACATTTCAGTTGCTTCAAGTTTCTTCTTTATCTGTGAGGAGATTGTTCAGCATTCACTGTCATATAAATTGATATTATATAACAATTCACTACTCTTGTCTTTGTCTATAACGACACTTTTCTGTTTCTTAATACTTTGATTAGCTTTTCAAAGGCATCTTCTGCTATTCCATGCACCTTCGGATTTCAGTGTCGTACTTTCCGTACTCTGTTAAAAAAAAAAAACACTTCCCAGATATTTCAATTGTTGTGTTTGTTTGATTTTGCTATCTCCAATTTGTAATTTACATGTTGGGTTATACCTTTTGCGAAAAACTATGTATTCTGCCTTGTTGCAATTGATGTTAGTCCTTTCTTCTCGCTTTCCTTCACTACCTTCTGTATGAGTTCTTGCAGTTTCCTTTCTGTGTCTGTTGGGACTGCTAGATAACCTTTGACATATTTAGGAAAGATATTAAAATAATCCAGAACCTATACTAGGAGGAAACAGCCATCCCTTCTCCTCCTCTTAGGCCTCCGTCGGTCAGGGTTGACCATAAGTAGCATCCTAGTTGTCTGCTTGGCTGGAGCATCTACGTCTGTGACTGTAGCGGCCGATTCGGGAGTGACAATCTCTGTTGCAGTGGTTGCATGTATGTTCTGTCTCTGGTCTTTTGGAGCTGTCACTTCGTTTTCTGCGGGGCCGCTTTTCCGTGGCGACTTGTGTCAGCTTCTCCTCCCCTGACTTAAGGTGTCTGGTCAGGCTCTCCAAGAACTCTGTGTTGATGTCCGTTATCAGCACACTGCTATATGGCAACGAGGCTTGGACCACGTACGCCAGGCAAGAAAGGCGTCTGAACACCTTTCATATGAGAAGCATCCGCCGTATCCTGGAAATAGCGTGGCAAGACAAGGTTCCCAACACTGAGATCTTGTTTGAGCAGGTTTGCTCAGCATGATCACCTTGCTCAGACAGCACAGACTCCGTTGGTTGGGCTACGTCCATTGTATGCCAGACGTCCGCATCCCCCAAAACCTCCTGTATGGAGAGCTGGCCGCTGGAAGGAGACCCGTCGGGCAGACACAGCTGCGGGAGGCGCAACATGAAAGCTGTGGACATCAAACAGCCAGCATAAGGATAGAAAATGAATCCATTAACTATACAAAAAATGCAAAGAGGTGTAAAACAAAATGTGTCTACTCAGCGGACTTGTTCAACCTAAACAATGAAGCAATTCTGAGAGAATTAGAAGTCCTACTATGATTTATTATTGGCGGCCATAATCTTAATAATATAAGATATTCACACAACAGTGTTGATAGAAGACACAAAAATGTATCTACAAGTAGGCAACCATACAAACGTTTTGTTTAGGTAACTAACAAACGTTATGTTCAGGTAAATCAATTGCACTATCGATTTTAATATTCCACATCTTACATATCTCCAGGTGAAGGCCCAGGCATTTTTTTCGCCATTTTCTAAGTTTTCCTTTTTGTTACACGACCTCCGGTACAACCACGACCCCAATCTAACAAATCATTTCAAACTTATTCAAATCTAGTCTTCTTGCTTCGATCGGAGTGTTTTATGATTTTATTTCCTTGGCCAGTCTTGGGTAAGATAGTCTGACGGAGCCTATCCCTCTCCAGATTAGTTTTGAATTTTGTTTTCCTTCAACTAGACTGGTTGCTGCTTCAAGGCAAGAGATTCCAACTGGAGAAAACTGGATTCATACCCTTTCCAAGAGAATCAGCGCGAAGTGACGAAACAGATTCGTGCGGGAATTGAACTCAGCACGCCAAATTCCTAGTTCCTCCAACCTTGACACTTGAGTTATAATTTTCAATCTTTTTCTTCAAAAAGATGTTTTGTTTTTCATATTTTTCCACACAGAAAGTTATTTTAAGTTTTTCGTCTCTTTACCGATAATTGTCGTATTTACAGTTTTTCATCTTTTTCTGACACAGGTAATATTTACAGTTTTTCATCTTTTTCTGACACAGGTAATATTTACAGTTTTTCATCTTTTTCTGACACAGGTGGTTTTTAGTTTTTCATCTTTTTCTGACACAGGTAATATTTACAGTTTTACACCTTTTTCTGACACAGGTAATATTTACAGTTTTTCATCTTTTTCTGACACAGGTGGTATTTAGTTTTTCATCTTTTTCTGACACAGGTAATATTTACAGTTTTTCATCTTTTTCTGACACAGGTAATATTTAGTTTTACATCTTTTTCTGACACAGCTAATATTTACAGTTTTACATCTTTTTCTGACACAGGTAATATTTACAGTTTTACATCTTTTTCTGGCACAAGTGATAATTACAGTCGAATGCGGTATTTACGGTTTTTCATCATTATTACCGGCTGAGATGTAATTTACAATTTTTAATCGTTTTAACGACTGAAGTGATATTTACATTTTTTCCTCGTTTTCCCGACAGAGGTGTTATTCACAATTTTTAATCTTTTTACCGATAAACTTGATATTTGCAGTTTTACGCCGTTTTACCGACAGAGTCATTATTACAGCTTTTCAAAAGTTTCCCCTCAAAGTCGTTATTTACAGCTGCTGGCCTTTTTACCGACAGAAGGGATATTTATAATTTATGTACAAGATAGCCTGACGGAGCTCATTCCCCTTCAGATTAGATTTTGTATTCAGAGTTTTCCATCACCTACACCGGTTGTCATGTCAACGTAAGAGAATTTAGTCTGTTCTGCTATTTAATCCATAACTGAAGGAAAATGGTTTCATGCCCTTTCCAAGAGAATTAGCTGGAAGTGACGAAACAGAATCTGGCAGGAATTGAACTCAGCAAGCCTAGTTTACTTTCCACGCCGATAATCACACTGTTCATTACACTATATGCGACTCCTATCTCAGAATAGCATATTCTAATTCTTTGGGTTTAGTTACCTTTTTATGTTCTATGACCGTCTCTGGTTTGTGCTGACAACGTTTGTTCATATAATAGAATCCAAGTCTCTGTCAATCACTCTCTTTCTAATCGATCTTTTTATAATACTTTTGAGAAAAAAATGCTCTGTTCAATCCATTATTATTATCATTGAATGAGACAAACTAACAAACTGACACTGAGATACAAATATACGAAGTCCAGTGTACTCATCATGACACCCAGTCAGATAAGGGTGGATATACGAGGTGCATGCATTACAGACAAATATACGGGATATGGTGACAGGTTTTTATAAAGGCAGCACATGGTCATGCATGTGGGGCTTAGTTAAAATTTCTTCAGATCGAGTGACCCAGACCGTCACCAGCTTTGACTCCCAAATCGCCACGGTGACTTTAACCTTCAAACTTAAAAAAATCTCTTGACACACGACTATGATGATCCCCATTAACCTGCTCATAAATCGAGAAGCATATTTCGACTAGGGGATCATCTAGTTATGGCCAAGCAAAATCCGTTGTACAGAATGGATATTTAATAATGATAATAATTGATGCCACACATTGACACAGTCAATCGAAATTCTGTTCTTGAAGTATGGTATCAACCAGGCTTCTAATAGCTCAAGAACTTTTCGAAAAATCCTATCAGAGTAAATGGTGACAGTGTTCTGAAATTTACAATTTTCCCTAATCGCTCTTTCCAGTTTCTAGATGGAGTTCTAATTGTACCCATTACTGCAGGAATGACTTCAAGTCATGTCCCATAGAGTTTTTAACTCCCTAGCATACTTCCAAATACGTTGACGCCCGGCGGATTATAACTGTGTCTTCTGGGCAGGAGAAGCTCTTTAACTTTGACCGGCAACCCTCCGAGAGATGTCTCGGTAAAGCATTGGTCGTAGTGCAAACTTAAATTCACTAACCTTCATATGAATGAAATGTCCAATGAAAATAGCGAAATAACAGCGTGAAAGATACTAGGACCAATTGCGAATCTGTCTCGCCCGGTAGGTGTGGCATTACACAGCAGAATGGGTTCGATAGTGAACCTACTACTTCTAGAATAAGGAAAATAAAGTGGTCTCAAGAGGTAAACAGAATAGTGGTAGACTATTATTGTCATTATGTATGGTATCATCTTGCCAGAGAGTAATTTTAAGTGCCTAATTCCATGT